GGAGGTGGTTGAGTCCCCATCCCTGGATGTGTTTAAGAAAAGGGTGGATGAACTACTTAGGGATGTGGTTTAATAGGGGATTAGGGACAGTTGGACTGGATGATCTCTAAGGTCTTTTCCAACCTAGAAATCTATGAATTTATGAATCTCTTATCTAGCACACTGAAGGTTTAACTTAGAGCTCAGAATATAAAACTTGTATTGATTTCTTGCTCTTTAGGTTATACATGAGCTTCAGTGTAACGTATTAGCTCAGACTAATTTCTGAGGTGGAGGAAAAAAGCCACGCTTTTGATAAAGTATTCTATGTCGTCCTGTATTACAGAGTGATGGGGGAACGTGATGTTTTTCTGTATTGACATCCATGGTCACAACAGGAAAAAAAATGTCTTCATGTGTGGTTGTGAGAGAAAGCAGCAAGCAAAAGCACCGTGGGTGCACCCATGTGTCTTCCCACTCTTGCTGAGCAAGAGCTGCCCAGATAAGGTAAGCAAATTTCTGGCTAGAAACTTACCTAAAAATTCAAGCACCATCTGGGATCCCTAATATTTTGTTTAAGGTATCACATTTACTAAAAGACCACACTTCACCCAGTAAAATAATCTTCAATTGGCTAAAACTAGAAATGGTAGGAATAAGAAATTTTAACTCATTTGAAATTCCAGAGCTCCAAAACCTATCATGCTGAATTGGGACATAAAGTTAGCTTTTTTTTTTTTTAAGAATGAAAAAGGCAATATCAAAGTAACGTTGTAACAATGTGAAAAACGAACATTAAATATTGTGTATTCATATATTAAAGGCATCTTTAAAATACATTGTAGAATTAAAAATAAACAAGTGAGAATTAAAAATAAACCAACAAGAAACTAAAGAGGAAAAATTTTTTCTCCAGGTTGACTCTTTCTGAAAATTTTCTATTGAAAATTATGTCAAAATCACTGTGTTTGTGTAAGATATTTCAATTACAAAAGAAAAAATGTTTAGTAGGAAATGATGACTTTTAAAATATGTCATTTTCCAGCAAACTCTGACTGCAGTAAGCTTCTTTTGAACCAGAAAGGTTACAAAGGCTCAGGAGTAAAACAACACACAAAGTAACCTACTAGATGTCATTGCATACTTGCAGCTAATGCTGTTTTCCTCAGGTATCAGTAATGAGGTGATTGTGAGCTCCAGCTCGGCTACATCAAATTCTTGTTCTATTAACTCACGAGAGAAGAGCTATTCCATTTTTTTAGTAGATGTGCATGTTGGTATATAACAGGATTTTTGGTAACTCATCTGGTCAGTTGTCTATACTAAGGTTCATTTAGAAACAGTAAGTACAGCCCCATAAAAAATTATTTTCAGAAATCTCAGGAAGCCTTAAAGTAAAATAAACTTTTAATCAAAGGTCTGTTATTTCACCTACATCTCCATTATACCAGTAATAACAGTATGCTCTGAGCTATGTTGTACAATATTCAAGTAAGGTAGAGTGAAAACTCACAATTGTTTACCTGGTAGGTAAGATTTTAAAAAAAACTTGTAGGGTTAAAATGAAATTATTGCATCTGCCTATTTACTTAAAAAGCTAACACTCTACCTGTCCTTTAAGTTCTCGTTCCCAGACTGCCATTTCAGAGTACAAAAGAGCAAAGAAGGCACAGGTCGAGTGGTGATGTGGAAGATGGGCATCAACAACAGCTACACTTTGGAAGCCTCTACCTGTGGCTCTAAGTTGGGTGAGACAATCCCTCTAGCTATTTAGAAGGAATCATCAAACAAGACCTTTACTTTTAGTTTTTCATGGAGAATGGTGGCTTGAGCTACCATCCCCTTGTTGGTGTTCTGTCTTACTGGGTAGAAATGAATGATGATTTAAGATAAAGAGTTGGAAAAACTGCTAAAACTAGGGCATTCGCCTAGCAGCTTTTCAGGCCACCACTAGCATTATTGCATATGTATCATGAAACAACGTCAGTGGATGGCAAATTAAAAGCAGTAACTAGAGCCAGTTGTGTTTTTAGGAAATTTTGTAATAGGGAATCAGTTAACTATGCATTATTGTCAGCCCCCTTAGATTTGTTCATATAGGCTGAATAATGATCTGTAATCTCGTCTGTATAAGACTCTGGCAGTCATAGACCTATCTAGCGTCTGTCAGTGAAAGATATGTGAGTTTGCAGTCAGCCGCCATCCTGAAATATCAGACACCAAGCAGTCAGCAGGATGACTGACATTTTCATTTCTGTCTTGCTCTTTCTGATGCTGCAGGCTGCAGGTGAAGCACCCATTTCAATGTGAAAGACTTGGAGTCAATAGGACAGCATTTCTGTCATGTTCTCTTGAACTAGCGTGTTCATAGCAAACAGGTAAGGAAAGTCCCCTCTCGGCCTTTTCTCCTGCCTCAGTTTGTCCTGCTGTGACAAAACATAATACTCTATAGGGTTATAGCAATAATAAATTCGATAATGGCTTTCTTTAAGCAGTAAACTAAATTTGTGGTATTTCTTATTATTACATCTGCCTGAAGGAGCACAAGAAAGTAGTGAAACAGCAAGCCAGGGTGAACTGACGTGTTAGACTGGGATTCCAGGTAACTTAGAACTATTCAGATGTGCCACAATTTATTATACTTATTATATAGTTATATACTTGTCATGTTTATTATACACTCTGCATCTTTTAAAAAGTGCCAGAGTAAATGTTAGAAATGTTACTAAAATTGGACTTCTGTCACACTTCTTAATTTAACACTTTTTGAACGATTGCATGCAAATCTTATATTGAAACCTTGATAGCTAGTTCATTGGAAGCAGAGCTCTGTATCCCCCCCAGGTGGCCTTCCTGAGGGGAAATGAAGCTGTGTTGGTACAGAGCTTGGTCTATTGCATTGCTTAAATCAATATGCTTTTTTTCAGTCTTACATTTTGCAGAGCAATCTAGCCACCCTATAAGGTATATTGTTTCAGTTTTATGTAAACTTAATTTCATCAACCATGGAAGATGCTAATCGGATTCCATTTAACCGAAGGGGTTAAATTCAGGGTAATTGTTAGCAGTGCAGTAATCTGTATGCTGACTAAACAATACACCTATTAAACATGATCAGCTCCTCCTGTGCCAGTGCGGACTGTGAGTGACTGCAGGATCAGTTGTGCAGGTGATTCGTGAGAGGTGGGCATTAATGCATTATGAACAGCTGTGGTTTCATGGTCATTTAGTAGGGAATAAAACTTTTGTACATTTCTTTTTTGGGGAAACATTAAAGGTTGGATCTATCTCATCAAACTTTAGGTGCCCTGAGTACAGAAATGAAGAGCTGAGCTTCCCAACTGGTGCTGAACTGTAAGGAAGTAGAGAGACACAAGATCTTAATGCATCATCAGAGAACTAAGAGAATACTCACTGGAAACAAAGAGGATGGAGTTCTGTGAGAGGATTTAGGAAGGGAGGGGGAAGGTGTGTGAAGCAGAACTAAAAGAAACCTAAGTAGAAGCAGGACATGCCATCTGGATAGATCATGTCTCTTTCATCAGCCAAGCCTTCTCTAAGCTGATGATGCCCACTTTTTGCAGGTTAGCTGTAGGTCTGTAAAATTAAAATGCGGATCTGGAAGACAGGCATGTAGAAAACACATTTATGTCTCTACAACCAGGGTTACTACAGAAAACACCTGCTAATGGCTGGAATGAATGCTGCAAAGTACTGTTTGCGATCACCGAATTTGGAAATTAAACGAAACAATGTTGTTTTTTCAGAGCAGCCAAGCTTCTGACAGCCGAGACTCCTGTGATCTTGTCATACACCAGCTAAAACTAGGTACTAAGGTATGCTATGACTTTTTCTTGTCTGTTTACATCTCTGTCCTGAATGCCACAGGGAAATAATCATTCGAGTTTAACAGGATCTGTTCGGAAGAACCTTAGGATTAAGTCAGAACAGTAATTAACGAATCAATAGTCTATAGAGATACAGTCCAAATGAACAGCGCAGAACAGTATTAATTTTCCCTATAGCTTAATGCAGATTTTCCATAAGGTGGCAGTTTTGTTCCAAAAGAAGGTGGCGTTCTACCTGTCAGGTTCGGCAGTACGGTTGAGTAAGCAGCTGTAGGGTCAGGGTGAGAAGGAGGGGAGCACCAGCGTTAAGCACAAGAAGTATAGTGCCCATGTACACTGGTGTCGACCATGCTTTCACATACCCACTTCAGAGTGTTCAGGAGTTGCGTTCTCCCATCACGCATGCAGGCAGGTCATCACACTGGTACTAAGGGCTGTCAGCATCAGACTTCCCCATTGCCTACCTCTAATCTCATAGGCAAATGTAGCCCCAGATTTAACGAAGTGCTTTCGCTGGAGGGCAATGAGACATTTTATTTTCCTGAAACCTGTATTTCCTTGTTTTGCTGAAAAGAATACGTTGAAACATGTTTTTTTGTCATTGTTTACTTAGTGTTTATTTCTTTGGTGCCTGTGATTACCATAATATTGATCGAGATGTTTCCTGTAGATAAGCAAAACAAACTTTCCTGAATGTATTACATTTAGAAAGCTTGTGGATGAATTTTAGCCAACAATAATAGTTCCTGTAAATTCATACTTCCTGTTTGTAACAGAAATACAGTAAAAAACAGTAAAAGGGAAAACTAGTACCAAGACCATGTACTAAGAGTGTGTAAAACTGAAGTAACACTTGGCAAAACACACAGATAGGCATTTCAGATGACTGGGCTGGTTGACAAATTCTGTGAGTTGGAGTTTTAGATCTACTTTCAGAGATGATAGTTTGAAACATAATGTAGTCAGATAAGCTCTGGTGAGTGCACTTGTGGTGAAAGAAGCTGCCACAGATCCCTTTATGTGTCTGCCCATCCCTGGATGTGGGAGAATGGCTAACTGAGAAAGGCCACATAGACATAAGTCAGCTAGCTGAACAAAATCTTGCGAAACAAAGCACTCAGCTAGTTTAACTGCTGAGGTGGCAAGAACATCCTGTCTGTAACTTGAGTATTACAAGACAACAGGATGCTTCCGGCCAGACAGGCATAAGAAAAGGGGAAGAGAGTAAACACAGATGGGGAGCCAGGGGCGGAATTAGCTTCTAAATATGTTAACCAATCATGAGCTTTCCTTTTGCAATATGTATGAACTAATTAAAATGATTATAAAAGTGTTATCGCCTGGCAATAAAGACGAAGCCTGCTGATCACTCATATTGAGAGTCCTGGTCTTCCCTCCGTCGCTACAAATGGCGCCCAAACAGGGACCCTAGAGCGAGAGAACAGGGAC